TAATTTTTATTCTCCTTGAGATTCATTCACTGAATATTTCTGCAATTACGGTAAACGAACCTCAAACTCAATAGCTACTAGGGGAACTATTAAGATAATATCAAAGACTTGAAATAATATAGTTACTATTTGACCAAGCATTGAATGTAGATCTAATTACTGCATCTTAGATACTTCCGTACAACTAATGAATATAATGATTTTATGTTGTTACGATGCTACTAGTGTTTTAATTAGTTTTCAGTCAAATCAAACTGTGACATGTTTGGTGAATGTATTACTATATTAATAAGTGCCGTTTTACTCACTAAGACTAGACCTCGACTGTATTGGGCTAACAGTAAAATGGTGATCCCAGTGATAACCACTGCCATAAATATATCAAATCTTCTTGCTTTGTTCCTTTGTACTATTCGAACTTAGGTTAATTTAATTTGTTTATTTATGCTCTGAAGTAATGGCTTACACGAAACGTTAAAAAAATTAAATAATTTTTCTACTCATTAGGATATTACAAATATATTATGTTTATTAATAAACGTCACAAACTAAAATATGCCACGAAATTCATCGACTTCATTATATAATCTTTAGATATAGTTGAAACGGATATTCCCACATTATGTTATTGATGCGCACTGCTGAGGATTTTCACACTAGGATGAAACGGCCGTCAAGTGATTCCATGTTTTCCATGATGGTCTAGCTTCAATTGACTCATGAACTCAACTATTAAATTATTATAATATCCACAAAACTCATTTCTGATAAAGATTTATACACTGAAATCATTTGAGTTTTCAATTTCAAATTATACTGATACATATAACTGGTAGTGTAGGTCAAAGCAACAGAAATGTTGTAGAATTTATCACATATGCACAACTGTCAACGTTACCCTAGTTTTTATTGATACGATTGAAAAATTACTTAAACATAGGGATCTAGATCGATAATATTAGTAGTAGCAAAATCTTTCATAGAAAAATAAAGGAAACAATTGACAATAGAGAATTGTTAAAAGGAAAGAATCCACTTATGCCAATGTAGATGACTATTGACTAGTATTATTTAAAGTCTCTAATTGTTGATTACATTTAGCTCGACGAGTATAAGTAAAAATATTATAATATGTTACGTAGTTGAAAATGATAGTCATATTCCTTATGGAGTAATACCATAATTCTAATATGGCTGTTATTTGGTTCTTATTCAAACATACTTACATCCGTTAGCACGGAACATTGAAATAGGCCATGATCAAGCGTAAGTATAACACACCTTAACTATCCCGAATAATATGTAATTGAAAATTCGTCGGCTGACTCACCATATTTGTTTATTAATCTATACTAATCTATGCTCAATTGGGGATCTGAATGCCTTGGGTTCGACGCCAAAGTGAGTATAGGCTCTCAATGATGAGGAGTCCCGGACTGAGATAAAACAGTTGTTCAGATCTCAGTCATTTTCAATTGTTCTCCAGCTGATGTTGATTCATGATGAAAATTACTTCCATATTGCAAATAGTATCTAAAATATATTTTTACAAGTAACTGATTATTTATCCTTTGTTTCATTTATCTGTGTTAATGACAAAACCGTTACTGATCGTTACTTATGTGAGCGTACAACTCACAAACCTTTTAAAAATTATTGATGACAAGTCTTAAAATCTTACCGGTTTTTAAAAAGTTTCCAGTTCTCACCAAGATATACCTGCAATTCTGAAGGAACCTATACACTTTATGGGATCCCAACCCGCGCCAACCAACTTCACAGTTTAAGGCGTTATTACTGACCTTTTTCGACAGCGACTGACGTCCTGGTACGGGTTAGAATCCTTTAAAGAACATCAGTTGCCTTCAAGACTGGAAGTACACCTTGATGACAAGTGTAAACTACTATGAAACCTAGGTCAAACAGGTTTTTCTGCTGACTACCATTGACCACAGAGTATAGTATAATAAACGCGTTGTTGAGCTACTTAGATTAGTGAGTATATAACAAATTGATTTACAGAATTTGATCAGCATCAAAGAATTCGACAGACATGACATTGGTCAAGTTATAACCGGTATTCAATTAATTCACTTCTTTTTAATACAAAAATCAATCTGATTCATGTAAGTTTGTACATGATTTCGTGATTTCTGGAGTATAACCCTATAATCGTTTATAGGGTGAGACAAAGAATTTAATTCAGAAAATAGATCTGATGATGATTGATTAGAACAAAATGACTTTATATTTTTACAAAAATTAAATGATTTCTCAATGTTTTCATTAAAAAAATATTGAAAATGAATAGATCTAAGCTCTATTATTGTTGAAATACATAGAATTTCAGTAGTGTATACATAGTAAAGTCATAATTGATTGATCACTGAGTGGTGATCAATGTCATGTGTGTCAACTCCTTATTTAGTGCAGATCGAATGCTATCGACCATGTTGCAATGTGGCCACCAGTCTAGGTGACTCGACACTGCGTGCACTATATATTGAGATTAGATGGTGGTTGGAGGTAGTCGACAAGAAACCCTAGACCCAGTTTTCGTGCTACTTGGCACTCGTCAGCAGGGTGTACCTGTAATCAGTCCTACAGGTCAGTCGCGGCCCGGATAGCTCAGTGGTAACGTCTCTGACTGTGACGCTGGGTGACACCGGGTCGAATCTGTCAGAGAGCACCAGTTCCTTCAAGATTACGGGCACATCTTGCTAACGAGTGCCAAGTAGCACGAAACCCGGGTCCAGGGTTTCCTGTCGACTACCTCCAACCACCATCTAATCTCAACATAGTTAAGTAATCACTCTACTAGGCATTACTATGTGGTGTAATCTAATATACACGGTATATAGGAAACTATATGTAAAATAACTTTCACGCAGACTTCCTACCATAAAATTAGTAAATGTCATCATGAAGAAATTCGGTAAAATAATGATCATGTGTTAGTTACCAATATCACCGTATCATGATTATCATGTTTAAATTATCTAAAATTCTTAACACCACCCTAATATTTGACAAGTATACAGATTCCTGAGGTCAAATGGAATGATACTTTTCTAATAAAAGTCATTTTCTTTTAATCATCAGAAGTATAACAAGTATTCATCTATTTATGGTGGCATTTCTGTCTGAAACAAGCTTCTTTCCTGTTAATTTCAGTTGATAGAAGTTTGATGTTGAAAAATCTAATTGATTTATTTGTTAATCCTTTCAATAAAATCCAAATAAACTGATACATGATGAATAGTTAGTTACGTCCGATACATAGTCGAAACCCAAATGTTCTCACTTAAATTCATTCGTACCGCCAAAATATCAATCACAGAGTTTGATAGTCATAATAAAAATATCGGTGTGAAACTGGATTCTTTCTTTTTTTTTAATGGTAAAAAATAATCTAGAACTGTATTATTTAACATTTCCTCAATGTGAGTGTGTTTATTGTGGTTTATAAAATTACTTTATCACTTTAATTTTCATTTATTGTTTACTATCACTTTGATGTTTGACGCATTTTTTTTCCTTGTAAATGTGAGTTAGTGATTAATGTATCGTTTATCACTATGCTGTTATAACAAACACACACATATTTCCTATTTCCTATGAGTCGTCTTATTTTTATGCTTATGTATGTATATGATCATACATGTCTACATTACACATGTCTTTCTAAGAATCTGTCTGCTCATATTTATACTTATCACCAGTCTGTTCATATGGTACTATGATATTCCTCCTAAACGGATAAATGTACATAGAAATTGAATGCCTGTCTGTACTACTACAAGAAGTTTGTTTAAAATTCAATTCCCAAGATATTTTGTTTGATATAAATTCTCTAAGTAACAAGATAGTTTATAGTGAGAGTAAGCGAGACAACTAATCTTTATTGTGAATTCAATGTGTATGATGAGGTGAACATAGTAAAGTCAATAAATTCCTATGTTCGAATCACAATATCAAAGTTTAGTAGAACAAATTGACTGTATTTAAACTAATTGAAATGTTAAAATATATACAGGTCATGAACTGATTGATGTTAGACCGCCACGGAAAACCTGGAAGCACTGGACTGCCGTTTTGTCCTATTGTGGGACTCCTCAGCAGTGCGCATCCACGATCCCGCCTCTCAAGATTCCAACCCAGGACCTAACGGTTTCGCACACGAACGCTTAAGCTATAGACCACTGAGCAGGCTGGGCGGGATCCAACGGTCTTAATGTCTAAATAATCCACAAAATTGAGTGATATATCCAACATTGTCTTCAGTGAGTTATTATCTCACAACGGACCTGGTCATTGCTTCTCACTAGAACTCCAGAAAATACCTCTTGAAGCCAGTCACTAATCATTTCATTGACCTTAGTAGAACAAGAATAATCACTGTCTGTGACATGATTAGTTTAGATTATCCTAAAACCTTTTGAGTAGTAACGAAGTTCATTTTACGTTATCCAGTCACACGATCAGAGCTATTAATCAACATTTGAAAGGAAATGCAAAACAGACAAAATGTAACGACAATCAAACTTTGGACACCAATATTGGTGAATTATGAAGTTCAGTCATTCCCTTTACTGATAATGTTATATCATATGATCAATAAATATTAGTCTCTACTGATTTTTTTTACTATAAGGTACGTAACTTTCGAATGATGGATCGTCCAGTAATCAAAATCTGAATGACTGATCATATCAGATCTAATGAGGGTGTAATAACCTTAAAGACTGAATACTTGGATTACAGAGTTATTTGAACTAGGGTTAAGAGATCTTTTAATGAATCAGGCAAGCACCCGAAGGTTCATGATCGACGAGAAATGAGATCTTTACTTATTACAAACATACTGGTAAATAATATTACCAAACCAGCAAATCTATATTTTAATAAGTGTAATCACAGAGCTTTTGTAGCTAATGATTTCTAAATAGTCTAAGATAGGCTAACTATTAGAGTAAATAGATGGAAGTGTGAGCACTTACTGCCAGTATTTGATTGTTGAGGATAATAGACAAGAAATTGAGCATTACCACCAATATGTGCTGCGTTAGCCACAGTAGGATGTGTTCCAGAAGGAGCTAGAAGTTGTGCAATACGAGCTGCATTATTGCTAGAATCAGTTGTTAAGCATTCCGGTGTAATTACACTAGCTAACATCAAATTATTATGAGCATTGCCACTGTTTGTAGCACCAGTTGTAGTATTAATGGTACCAATTGGTACGGCATGTGAATTTTTCCCATGTGCTTGTACTATATTTAAAGCTTGACGAGGATAAGCAATCATTTGATATGTTTGATTATTTGGTAAACTATTACTTCCAGGTGCATTATGACCTTTTATCGATGTATTTGCAATCAATATAGGACGATAATTAGCTCCAAATTGTGATTGTTGAACAGTACCAGAACCAGTAGTAGCATTAACTTGTTCGACAACTCGTGGAAGTGTTTGTATCTCATGTAATGTATTTGTTCCTAATGGATAGTGAGCGATCAGTCCACGATTACCATGTACATAAGTTTCCATAACAGCCGGTACACCAGCTGCGTGTACAACTGTATGCATTGATTTTTGCATACCTGCTATATTATGACTTAATTGTGGTCTATGTCCACTTGATTGATTTTGTTGTCCACTTAAAATATTTTGTGTACTTGTTATAAGACATTGACCACAAGGTACTGCTGTAGGATTAACTGAAGCCAGTGGTGAGTTAGTCACATTTGTATTTGTATCCATTGTAGTTAATGATTGACTTGAGATAAGCAGTTGAGAACGTTGACTGGACATAATCACAAAAATAATAGATATTTACTAGGAAGGAGAAAAAAAAGTAAGGAAGTGATATTTTAGCATACTAAATGAAATACATAACAAATGTCTTTGACAAATGATACAATAAAAATAAACATATGGATCAATCAGAAAATCTCCACACACTAATTACCTGTTAAAAGAAAACTAGACCTAGAACTACTGTTTAATTAATCTGGTGAAGATTGTTATGATCGATTCATACTGAGTTATTAAGTTGATAAGTAACTGTAGATCTAAGCTTCGTGTTTCTAAACACTCATTAACAATGGCTGTTTTAATATATGCTAACAGATTCATATCTAGCCTCTATATTATCACATGCGTGAAATTTAGTTAAAGCTTCGTAACATGTATTCTCTCTAAACTATATGATTACTCAGGTGAACATAGTACATATATAATCAATGGTACTCAATTAGCAATAATGAATATATAGCACGAAACATGTTAATAGTCAATCATTAATTTTATGTACATATATAGTAGGTTTCATTTATCATAAATTTTCGTAATTCTTAAACAGGAGTTTCTTCCGTGTCAGAATCGAAACCAACAAAAGTCAATTAATTATGCTGTTCAAATATTCTCAAACCCCTTTACTCTGCTTGCATGAAGTGACAGTAAGAATAACTATTCGGGAAGATGTTCATGAATTGCGCCATTAGTAAGTCAGTCATATAAAGCGCAGAACCTGATGCTTGTGTGCATCGGTTCAAATTACTACACCGTATTAACATAGTAAAATAAAATCATCAAGCCAAATTCTAGAGTAGTAGTAATAGTGTTAGTAATGGTGGAGAATTTACAATGTGAATAATAATTATTACCTAGGTGTATGATGTTAACAGGCTTTTCTCTTTAAAACATTCACTCAAGAGGAGAAGTTATGGTTGTAAAATTTATCCATTTTATTTAAATACATAAACATTGGTACAAGAAGGCACCATATACATATGCGCCACACAAATCATTCGATTTGTGTGAGGGCTGAGATACTGCTCGGGTGCCTGAACCGAAAAAGGTGGTCTTCATAGAGGGCCACAACCGAAACCTCCGACCTAAAGATCTGATCCACAAGGCAGTGGAGAAACGTCCTGAGAGACAGATCCGTGGTAGCCGGTGACTAACAATAGGTTCATACGCCATTTGTTCCTTCAGGATCCTGGAGTCCATGTGCGCCATTGGTTTGAAATCAGGGTTTACCAACTCCCCTAGGTGGACTGTCCGTATCCACCAACACAGTCCAAGCCCTCACCGGACATTCGCTTTTCGTCTTCTCAATTTCATAAACAACAGTAATGCCATGAGAAGGCAGTGAGTAGGACTGCCCTAACATCGGCTGTATGCACATGGTCATACGAGGGCATCTCGAGAGAGAGAGAGAGAGAGCTGACTCTCCCCACTCTCGGCCGTAACAGGGCATTTGGGGGCAAAGTTTAAATAAATAGGATGTCGCTGCCAGGATAAGTGAGGTATAAAACTGGGATATTTTTGTGTTTTAACAGATTGATCTATAATTGGTCAGTGGTTGACTACCGGTATATCCAGTTCTGCAGTTAGTCAGCTGTATGAACTACCTTGCTTGAGCTAGAAGTCCTTATGATCGGTCTCAAGTAGATTTTCCACTATTTAGTAATTTTATAAAACTTCTAAACTGCAAGAGTGAATACAAACTCTTGCTTTTCAGCATGACTTTGCTATTACTCGGCCGAGAAAAGTGTGTATGAAGCATGAAAATTTATTAAGAACCACTAGGAAATTCATGGAGAATCGCAACTCAAATACCATTGTCAGATACATCTCCTGATACATGTTTGAAGTTACAATGAGTAAACAATATGTCTAGAAATTTCAAGATCTTTTTTAACTTGCTAAATAACGTTTGACATTCATTAACCTAATGCAACTTAGTGTTTTGAACTAACAATGTATGATGATATAATGTGAAGATAATGCATATTAGACATAAAATAGTCATAATGGTTTATCATTCCCAAAACTGAGTCATTACAATCAAATAATTCATTAATAACTTGTTTGCACATTCTGTATGAAATTATGAATTCATTAACTGATTTTGACTTTTGAACTGAGGTAGAAGGTTATATAGTACAGCGCCGAAATTAAATTTTAAACTATCCAAACAAAATGACCCTTAATTGGTCAATAAATACAGACAAACATATCTAGCCATGCTAAATACAAAAGACTACGTCAAAATTGTAAAATGTGTTATGCTTTTGATTCCATTCAATGAATTGAATTGTACATGTGTCAATAAACCCTTACTTTGATTTAACCTGCCTCTCTATCAAACGGTGGGATTACTGGGTGTAAATGTATCACACATGGTTGAATATCGTGATCTTGTAAGGTTTACAAATCGTCTCTTTTCGTCATATACTACACTAGGTGAAACTACAGAATATTGTGAAGAAATAAAAGAGAGAACGATTATATTTCGAAAGATACATCATAACTACTAGTCATTATAAACATTACATCAGCAGTTTATTTTACTGAACCACTATAAAAATAACAGGATATAATCACACTGAGATTTGTTTTCATGAGTTTTACTTCATCTGTAAATACTTGTGTACTGTTGAAGATAATTAGACATTATTAATTTATCAAATTGAAGGACTCTTAACAATTGAGTTTATATACAATTGCTTGTAAACAGAGTGGGCATATTATCCTTGGTAAATGTTTTGATACTGACCGTGATTGAATTAGGTCGATTTCGTTTTATTAAGGTTTAGTCAAGTGGAAATACCTGAATTCCAATCAATACTAGTATTCTCACTAAGGCTTAGACCAAGCCCCACCAATATCAATGCCTAATCAGTTTTCTTCATAAATCACAATACGTCGTTTCTTTAACGTGTGTGTCACTTGTTATAAGTCTTGGAACACACAACTATTTCTTTAGATCAACTAAATTGGTCAGTTTCTGACTATAAATGAGTTAAGTAGAGCTTCTCTGTTGTAAATTTCCACTTAAATCTGTTTTTTTAAAGTAAGTCGATGAGACATTTTCCGTTTTATCTGTTTTATCTGGAGACTCTGTGTGACATGGCCCAGAATCGATCACAATGGCATAGGTGTATACACTCTTTGTCTTCCCTTAAACCATGAAATTAAAATTATTTTATATCTTTCTTTCTAAGAACTAATTCCTTCTTTCTGTACTATATCCTTACATAAAATCTTTCCTTTATATAATGTTGTTACTGCTGTTAAGGGTATGAGGGCTGGCGTCACTTCCCGGCTGCCCACACCGTGGAAGGGTATTTCTTGAGAAACCTGAAAAGGAAGTTGGATTAATGTTGGCCTTAACGACCTGGGAGCGTGACCGCGAAGCCCAAGGGACAACTGCTTGAGGCCGGTCGCGCACGGCCTATTTGTGGGAGGTTTTTGACGTGTTAGCTCCATTCTTCAAAGGGCCTTACCGCCGGAGACGGAAATCCGTGAGGTAAGGTGAGGTGTGACATTTTTAGGGTACACGTTTTCGAACCCCTTCCTTCCTTGTGAGAAGGCAGCATCGCTGCAGATGCTGGTTGTCTGAGGGAAATACCTTACTGCTGTCACACCCCTCTACAGTCAGCAGTACGACTTCGCCCTCAGACCTTGAGTTGCTGCTTTTAGTCTTACCGTTCTCCAATCGACCTGCCTGGCATATTAGAACCTACTGGAACATATGTTACAGCCAATATAGCTCTGTTAGGTCATCACGATAGGCAAGACCGACCACCGCGTCAAGGTAGCAGCTACGGTCAGGCTCTATATACTACACCTTTGAGTTAACTGTTTCTATTAATCCGGTATTCGTCTTGCTGTGCCAATGAGATGTGGCAACTTGGATCGATGCATGTATGTGCCTGGTCCTACGTTGTAACTGACTGACTGAGATTGAATTATCTCGACTCAACCGAATTTAAGCATTCCGAAATTAGAAATTCAAATTGACCGTTCATTTTTTTAAGCAAAATGAATAACGTTTTGAATCCCTGGATATCAGTAGCCAGTAATTGTTCAATGGATGATAATTATTACTGAGATAAATACCAATTTTAATTTTCATACCCATAATGCCAAATTATAACAACCATAGGAAATAATCTAATTCCCCATACAATTATGTTAATCTAAATCAACTTATTACTCTTAAAGCTGGACAATATTCAGTCATAACAACGTAGAACTTCGTACGTACGTACATCAGTTCGAGTTGCCACACCACATTAGCACAGAGATGCATTTTTCGATTCAAATCCCATAGTGGTAGAGGCGGTAAGAGTATAAGCAGTAATCGGAATGATTAGGGTTTGAAGATGTTTTATTCAAAGAGTATAATCCAGTGAAATAAATTTGGAAAGAGAAAAAAGAAACAAGAATTCAGAATATTAGAATTTGGGAGAACACAACGAGTGGATGCACCTGAGCCATTGCAAACGATTTTGAGTCATGTCATTCGAGGTCTCTAATCATCAGTTGCTATCATCTCGCGGTCCCCAACCAGGTAGTCTACACCTACCAACATGACTCAGTCCACTTGTCAGTGACTTCATGGACTTGTGCCATGTTTTGGTTTGACCGCCCCCAGATTGCTTCCATCCTACTCCTACACCTCGTGGCAGTCGACGGTTGGGCATACGTAACACGTGTCCCAGCCATCTCAACTGATGAAGTTTCACTACTTCATCAGTTAATTTTCCATCCTTACCTAGTACCTGTTTCCTAACAACTGCGTTACTTACTCGATGGACAAAAGGTAAAATACAAACTCCTACGAATAAATTCCATACCCATTGAACAAACTAGTTTTTTTAATTCAATGGCTCAATAAGTAACGAATTGATGCTTGAAACGGAAACTAGTACATTTAAGTTTGAATGTAAGTAGCAACACTAGGATATAAATGAATCAGAATACCAATCCCTACATAGGACTAAACACAAGTTCTAAAT